ATTGTTTGGTATCTTTATTTTAATCCAAACATTTCTTTTTTAAAGAAAGGTAATTCTGAAAATTCATATTGCTACTTTAGAATGAAGTTATGTTTAATATAGATTTTGAAAACAAGCAAGACATGATCCATAGAAATTATGCTAAAAAAAGAACTTAATGACTTCATTCCATCAAAACTAAATATCCATTATCTTCTAAATTAAAATAGAAATAAATGGTTGGCTTTGTTAAACAAGAATCTTTTTTAATTTCTTTTATTGCAACTTATAATATATTTGCAATACCTTTGATGATTATAGTAATGCAAGGTCTATTGGTACTATTTCTTACTGTTAAAATGTACAAGCTACTCTTATTTAATTCATGTATATGTCTAGGGCATAGGATTTTTTTTACATAAAAAATATAAACATATTATAGAGTATGTTAAAATTGATAATTAAATGTTTCAACCTTAGAAATAATATATTTGAATATTAAGCTAGTAAATAAAAACCAATTTGTTGGTTTGTATAGTCCAATCTAATTGTCATAAGTTAGGTATTGTTTTGAACCTCTAAGTATGTTCTTCTACATTTTGGGCAATTTTATTATTAAGATATTTTTATTTTTCTACACATATTGTAATAATCCAAATTTATTAATAGATTGTAGCAATACCTTAGATAGAAATATAAATGTGGATCATGCTTCTTAGAAGATGCAAGATTAGAAGCTTGTAAGTTTTTCTATTAGATATAACATAATTACAAGCACAAAAATTTAAAACCTATGAAAAGTGCATATTTAGCATTTCTTGTATTAAGACAAGTACAACATAAATATTTAATTATAATTTTTGCTATGTTTTACTAATTATTATTCACATTTTTTATCTCTATAATTTACATTAAATATTAAACAAACTCTATGTCTACTTCAAAGCATAAGGTCTTTTATTCTCTTATATAAAATAAAATATAGGCATTTACTACCACAATAAAAAGTAGGATAAAAAATCTTTAATGGCTTTACAAGTACAATCTTCTTATATGAAAATATATCTATATAAATTTTAGACTTTATACAAATTGATCTTGTATATATCTTATTAACATAACCTATAAGTTAAGCCACCTACATACAAATACTATAGGTACAAGTGGTCCAAAATAACTACCTATTTAGGCTTTAATATGTCATTTATAAAATAATCAATTCCTTCAAATTGATATTATAAAATAAATTTATTAAAACAAAAATATTATAGTTTTGAAAACTATTATAAAAAAATAACTTTATAAACTTCTTAAGTAGATACAAAAAGATCAAATTAGGCATCTAAAATTTACAAAGTCTTAATTTTTCTACAAACAAATATTTATCAATTCTAAACTAATCTAGCTTTAAAGATTTTTATATTTACTGTGTATTAAATTTGCATCATTTTATTTTTAGTCTTGTTTTCTGTAGAAATACCACAAAATTACAAATAGAGTACATATTGAATATTTATTATATGGCTTTTAAGTTTAATTGAATTAACTTAAATAAGAAGTTATATATATATATATATATATATATATATATATATATATATATATATATAAAGCTAATTTTTAAGTTTATTCTTTATACATTTTTTTAAAATTTTAAAACTATATATTTGTTTTACTATAAATCCTCAATATTGGTTTTTGGATTTTTGTTGAAATTTTAATAATTTTTGGTCTTGGATAAAGAAATTTCTTTTAAGAATATTATGTGAATTGTTATTATGTGAACTTTATTATGTAATATAAATTCTTTCATTATTTTTTTTTAGAAATTTATTTTATTAAATAATTTTACTTAAATTAATAGGTTACTATTAAAGAAAAAAATTAGTCAATCAATGTTTTATTTTTCTTTTAATGTGTATTCTTTATTTATTAATTTATTAATTTTGGTTATAGATGTTCCATGATTCTTTGCATAAGTCTTGTTGAGAATTTGTACCATTAATCCAAAAAATAATTAACATAAATGCAATAATTTTTTATAAGTATATATATATATATATATATATATAGTTCTTTCACAAATTTTAATTATTCCATGAACCTAAAAACATATCTTAAAAAGCTCAATTTTATAATTTGATTGATAAAAAGAATTAAAAATTAAAAATCTAACTGATTTTTATTTCTTTATATATTTAAAAAATTTAATAATTGTTCCTTACAAAAATTAAAATCTCATGCTAAAATCATTTATCAATATAAATTCCAAAAATATTAATGTTAAAAAATTTAATGCCAAAGAAGATTTTAAGATTTTTTAAAAATTTATGAAGATAATAAGAATTTATAAGTATATGACAAAATTCACATATAAGAAGATTAAAAAATAATAAATTATCATTTAAAGATATTTAAAAAGTAAAAAAAACTGAAATATCTAAATGAGTTTGTAAAATGCATAAAAAAACAAAAGAATTAATGAAATAAAATATATATTTTTATAAGATTTAACTTGCATTTGATTTAATTTAAATATGAATTAATTCTAATATAAATTCTTTGAAAAAAAATCATTTGTAAACATTTTTTTAAAATAACTTATTGTATAATAAAAATAGAGATTATAGTATTTTAAATTTGAACGACCATCCTATTATATGAAGAATAAAAGAAATAATAACAACAACATAAAAGAATAATACAAAGATAGTAATAGATGGTTTAAAAAGTAGATCAAATTATAGAGCATTTATGCAATAAATATCTAAAAATATAAAATATAATGTTTTAATAAAAAGATACTAGACATTGGTTTTTAATATTTCTTTAATATTAAAAAGTCAATATTAAAAGAACTTATGTAAAATACTAATTTGTTAAACTTTATACTAATAATTTTTACTATCAAAGATTTCAAATTTAAAAAATTATAAGTTGTGAAAAAAATTAATTAAAAAATTTAATAAACATATTAAAGAAAAATATACAATTAGAATAAACAAAAAAAATATATAAGTTGTGGAAAAGAGGTATTTTTTTATCTATTAATGTCAAAAAAGTTATTTCTATTTATATAACTATGTTAAAATCTTGTATTTTAAAATTTATACATATTTTAATAAAATACTTGGAAACAATAAAAAGAATCAATTAACATTATTTATATAATACAAGGGCTAAAAGAAAAAAATTATTTATGTTATGATTGACTTGACAAATCCAAAATGAGCTATCTTTAACCTAATCAAAGGGATATAAGTTAGTAATTGCATGTCTTAAATATCTAAACTAATAAAGTAGAAAGAATTAGATAGATACATGTAGAAATAGATTATGTAGATAAGAATATCTTCATCAAGAAGTATTGAATAAGCTTCTTTGACATAGAATTAAATTATAAGTGCACAATGTGGCTACAAAAATATTTCTGATAAGTTCTCTAGCTTTAAGAGGCCACTTTCAAAGGGCTCTCCAACTTATAAACTTGGCTAGTAAGCCTTGTGATTCTTAAGAAGCTTTCATGTAGATATTTTACTACATGGTATATATGTAAGAACGATTAAATCCATCCTTAATCTTCTCAAAGCTAGAGAACTTAAATTGTCCATTTATGAAAGAGAAATGGTTTCTTTCAAGAAATGAAATCAATTGTTGTAATTAAATTAAAAGATTATTTTTATTTTTATTTTTATTTAAAAAACCATTCTCTTTTATAAATTGACAATTTAAGTGTGTTGTTGTATTGTCCATATATATATACACACACACAAATATTTAGAAGTTGTGTTTTGATTTAAGTAATAGATTCTTTTTATGAATATTAGGTTGAACTTCTATAGTTCTTTTCCCCAAAAAACCTATACTTTATTCTTCCAATAACTACTACATAAACATTGCTTTGATACATTTTATTTTTGAAACATGAAATAGATTTTGGTCTATCAGTTATATGATCTATATGTCTTGATTGTTTGAAAACATAATTCTCTCCATATAAACAATTTTTTTTTTGGCATTTATTTTAAAACATACAAAATAATTATTATACTCAATATTTCGGATATTCTAATGTTATTTTAATAATAATATTGTAGTCACAACATAACAACACACTTAAATTGTCCATTTATGAAAGAGAATGGTTTTTTAAATAAAAATAAACTTTTAATTTAATTACAACAATTGATTTTATTTCTTAAAAGAAACCATTTCAATAAAACCAATTCATAAACTTTGTTTGTTTTTGGTATTTGATGTTGAATCTATTTAATATTTAATATTTAATAATAAAAAATTATTACATTTCTAATATACAAAAATAAGTACCCATTTAGTGTGAATTATTAAAAACATATTATATCCAATATCCAAGAGGACTAATATATAGGCTTGGTGTTTTTTTTTTTTTTTTTTTTTTTTTTTTGTTGTTGTTGTTGTTGTAGTATAAAGTTGAATTACATACAAGTAGGATTTTTAAAACTGTATTTTGTAAACATTGATTCCTTAAGATCTACAAAATATCGTCACATCTATATTCTTTTGTCATACAGCATCTGCTCACATGTTTTTCAATATATTCAATATGTTAATTAATTTGTGTTTAGTATAAAATTCACACATTTCAAATTGCACGAATCTTGGTCACCTTTTCGTGCGAGCATGTAAAACACCCCATTGCTTTTAACCATCACTTGTCTTCATAAAAGTAAAAATATTTTGAACCCTAGAAAGTTACATTGAAAATCAAATGAAAAATGTCCATAATGACAAATTGTTCAGTTTGATCATTTTTACCATGAAGAATTTAATCTTCAATTTAAAGTACCGTGGAAGAATGAAATACTTCACTGTACAAGCAAAGTTTACCTCAACAAGAACAAAAATCACCACAAATTTGATAATTTGTAAATTTTTCTGTTTATAGCAAACCATCGCCATGTTAATTAAGGTGAGAAGAAAGAAATAAAAGGCAATCTATCAAAACACAAGTTACAATTGCAACATGCAGTCTTGGAAAGTGGCAAAAGAAGTCTACATTCATTTCCAACGAAAGTGGATGAGAAGAATCGTCCTCAAATTTGTACAAATGAGGTCGTTAGAAAGACACTCCCCAAGTTTTCAGGGATGTATGAATTCTGGGATCAAAATTTCGAAAAGATGAACAGGTTCCCTGATCATGTTTGCTTCCCGAGGTTGCTTTTTTGCAGACCACCAGGAACATTGTTCACAGTCTCTAGGTCTAAAGACATGTCGTCTTAAGACGTATGCCAACACTAACCCAGCTTTGGCCCTGTGAGTTGACTAACTTCAAAAGAGTAAAACTCATACGGTACATCCTACAGGGAAGGGTCGAAATCACGTAAGGTAGAGGGGTGCGTATTGCGTGTAAGGGAAAGAGAAAGGAGCCTGCTCTCACTATTAATTGATGTTACACAGATGTAAATACATATACGTCAACACATTACTGATTGCAAACGACACATGTTCACTTTTAAGGATCCAAACCTAAAATCCAAGATTTTGACCCTTACGAAGTGCAAACACAACTCATAGTGCTTTTGTTCAAATTACTGACCCTCTCTGCATAGACGGGCGTACCCAGCATTCTACCTTTTACCAACTGTGCTGTAATTTCCACTTCCCCAGGCTCTGCTTCCCGAGTTTCGTCCTGAAAAACCAGCAACTAGTACATCAAAATAGAAACTCATTACTACGATGTCTTGGCGCTTCTTCCAGTCACTGGTGCAAAAGTGAGTCCTGTTAGAGAGGGTTGTGCTGTAAAAAAGCATTAGGCAGGTTTAAATTCTACGAGGGATCACCTGAGATCAAGGTCGCTCTTGACACCACAAAAGCCTATACGGTAACAATCGAGATGGTATTTAAATAAATAAAAATAATTATATATATATATATATATATATATATATAAAAGAGGAAAATCGTACCTGAGGGCTATGGTATTTAACTTGTACAAGCCCGTAGTTACGGGATCTAGTCCACTTGTGGTGCCGAAATTTATATTCGTCCGTCAGGCCTCCAAGGCGACCAGCAGCTCTCATAAAGTAGTAAGCAGATTTCGGGAGAGGTACATTAGCAATTGCGCTTGTTGTGAGCTGGCGAAATAAAATCTCGTGGTTTTTTATGATGTCGGAGTGACCTCCACAATGAACATCACCTGTAGTAATAGCAAATCTATATGTTTATTGCAGTGTAAACCCGCAACTGGGGTCCAAACCACTGACACCCATCTGCAAACTTATTTCAACAAAAAGAAGATTATTGCAGAAATAAATCCCTGCAATACTATGTTACAAGTGATTTTAATGTTGCATCAAACTACTAGATAAACTGTTTCAAATAAGAACTCAACAGTAGAGGTAGGATCCCCCTACTTCCTACTTACCAGAGCTAGTGGAGATTGAAGAGCTAGAGACCCTTACCTCCAAGAACTAGAACCTCACGACTTGCTGCATTCTTCCATTCGCATAGAGAATCGATCATCATGATTTGCTCCTTGATGTGTTCACCGAAGGACCAATGTCCTTTGAAATCTTCGAGTCGATGAAATGCAGCAGCTGCAGACTGCGTAATCCGGGGTTCTAGAAATACAAGAGGGGCAGGAGAGCAAACTAACAGTGCCCGAGCTTCCGCAAAAATGCCCTCTGCAGACAACGTCTTTTTGATGGCACTCCATTGCCCATCCCCTAGATAGATTTTCTTATCACCATCGACTCGATGAAAGGTTCGTGAGCCTCGAATGTCAAGGAACATAAGCCCTACTCCTCCTATAAGATGAAAATGATAGTCCTGAGAAACACACACTTTCCAAGGTAAGAGTAAGGTACATAACGAAGAAATGAAAATCAAACACATGTTTTTGCAGTGACAGATGTGTTCGAAATTCGTCTTCATTGACCATAACACAGCAGTTTCTCGCCTCCGACATGTACCTGGTGGACATCGTCTACTTTAGTGAAATCAACATCTACGTAGAGCTGCCTTTGATACTCCATGCTAACGATCCAGGCACAACGAGCCACAAAGAAGTCAGCGCTGTCTTTATTCCAGTCCTCCTTTACATCCCCCCAATTGTCACGAACTTCATGATCATCGTAAATCATGAGGTTTGGGCAGTTAGCTAAACATTTCGCAGTGGGAGGATGTCTCCAAGTGTCCCTGTAAACTTCCCGATAAAATTCGCACACGGCATCCTGGTGTTCAATCCACTGCTCTGGACGCACTCCCTTTAATAGTTCTATGCCTTTCCGAAAACGATCAGACCACGCATCCTTGTCTGCCCCAGCCTCAGCATCTTGGCGCTTGTCGCCATCACCGTAAATCTGAAGCAGTTAACCCCAATAAGTGGTCTTCAAATGAATTCATCAAAATATAAACAGTAAGGCCTGCAAGAATTTTCCCAATCAAGAGACAGGAACAGAGAAAGAAAAAAAAGAAAAAAGAAAAAAGAAAAACTCCCTAGCCTGTTGCGTTTTTATCTTGTCTGCGTTTGCTTGATTTCCTTTCAATGTAGTCTGTGTAACGGAATTCGTAGCCCCTATCTAAACTTCTTCGCTCCATTAAAACCCTTAGAAATTTGGTCAACATATTGTGGTTCCAGCATGATAGTTTGTCAACCTAGTAGTAAACCTTCTATACTGAGACACAATGAACCACCTTAGACAGAAAATATCCAAGTATGACCTTGATCATTCAAATACATACTACATGAGGGGTGTGCTATAGAAGAAGCGGCACCTGATCTCCGAGGTGCAGAAGGTAGTCCACCTTGCCAGCCTCTATGTTTTTAGATAGATGACCCCACAAATCCAAGGCGGGAGGAATCATTATATCCGTAATGAAGATTTTGTTGCAGCTTATCACTCCAAATGTCAGAGCATCCGCAGACGCCTCTGGAAAAGTACGAAAGCTACTTGCTGTAATGTCTTTTGTGCAGCCTTTCACCTCAACAATGTAAGCCGTTTCTGGTTTGAGATCTCTGAATTCGAAGACAGCAGGCCGATTCGCTATCACGCCCTTCTGTAATACGTGCTCTTTATCGGACAAATGCCCTGTAGCCCCGTAGGTTTTGGTTGTTCCTCTTCGTCCAATAGTCAGTTGTTTCTGTAGAAAGCTGGGTTGCTTCTCCAAAGTCTGAGGCTTCTCTCTCACTTCAATCGTCAACATTCCTGACCTGTCAATTTCGATGAGGATACGAGCTGTGGTCGCAGTAACTTTACCTATAATTGGCCCAACCTTCACCTGCGGCTCCACACCGGCCTTGAACTTTCTGGAACCTGAGGTCCCATACATCTTGCTGATTGTGTGGTAAAAGTTTAGCTTTACATTCCGCTTTGAACCCTTCCATCTTGAATGTGGTAATTCTTCTGAATGATTGTCAACAGCTGAATTGTTACCGTCATGCTCCATACTTGCTGCGCTTGTTTCGAAAGAAGATGAACCAAACACCAAAAGACACTTTACCCAGTGATTTGTAATACCCGATTGATCACATCATATTAATGTTGAGCACCTGCTACTTGCCAAGGATCAGGTACTCCACCATGAGTTCTGAACAAGTGCCTCCCTTTCTCAAGGACAGAGACATACGAATCTACAACCACAGTTTGAGTCTGGTCTGTGATTCCCATATAAAAGGGAGAAGAGGTTATTCTCTCAAATTCTGAGCAGCGAATTGGTCCATGCGTACAGCATCACTGCGAATTCAAGTGCCAAAAAAGCTATCATTCGCAAGCAAACACCGTATCATACGTTACAAGTCGCACAGCTCATAGCTCTAGGTATATTTGAACTGAGTAGAATGCGGTTGACAAAAACTTTGAAGTGAATAAATCACTACTTCAACCGCTTCGAAGACCAGTTAAGATCTAAAAAGTCTTAGCCTCATCGAAAGAAGCCATAAAGACTTGGATCTCGAGACAGATCACACAACATGGCCTGATTCACACATATCACAGCCCGTCGTCTTATGAAGGATCTATGACACAGAATGAAAATTCCTAAACAAATTATACAACAGCACTGCACGATCAGGGAACCGTTGCGTGTCAGCCAATCTTCGAGGCCAAAGAACACAATCCGGGTGCTCCACGAGACTCAGTTCAAAGGGACTGTACTACTTGTGAAGTAGACATCGCTAGTTTATCGACATGTCGCTCCCAGCACTTGGATCCACATTCAGCGCTGCCATGAAAGGCCCCGTTCAAAAACCCAGTAGGCATATGTTACTAAACAAAATCAAGAAGCCCAAATCAGGCCCACTGTATGCAACAATGACCCTCTCCGCTAGGACTCTCTCCTTGAGCTCAAAATGCCACCACATGAGCAACAAAAACCTAGCAGCATCCGCATTGCTTCAAAACTAGCAACCCAACTCCACGATTCCCCGGGAATATTCTACTTCCAGGAGCCTACATCACAAATTCCTCAAACGCGCCGATCCACGAAAACCCACAAGACCAAAGTGGAAACCAACCTTGCACACACAGAAAACTAAGATTAGCTCATTGCCAAGAATGTAATCTAGCTGCTTGAATCCGCGTTATTGAACTACTCCTGCCAGTAAAATCGCATCTTTGCTGGCCATGTCGACGTTTGACTGAGCTGTCCAGGGATTCTCACCACGAAACCCTACAACAACAAAAGTGACAACAGCCGATGAGGGGTAGTGAGGCAACGCGTGAAGACTCCCTCCATCACTTGTCTTCTTCAACCAGCTAGCCTATCACTTAGTGGTTTCTTCTTTATTATTTTATTATTACTTAATTGTCTTTCTTTTTATTTGTTTGTGTGTGACTGTTCAATTTACTTTCATTTAGACATATTCATGTTCCTGTATTTCTGTGTTTCGGTGAGAACCATAAATAGGGCGACTAATCCACTGTTGTTAGCTTTTGACATTGTGAACTGCAGACATGTGAACAAAATCTAGAGAGAAAAAGTGAGAAAACCTGACAAGAATAGCCTTTGTTCATTCTCTTTTCTTATGCATCTCCCTGTTTTTTAGGGTTTTGTGGAATGAAATGTTTTTTCTGCAGGAGTTTTTCTTTTAAGCTTAGGAAAAGAAAACATGTGCGAGTTTTACTCGTTGCTTAAAATTGGAAAAAATGGAAAAAAAAAAAAAAAAAAAAAAAAAAAACGTCGTCGTGGACGATTTCTATTCCTGATATTCCTTGTCGTGTTCGTGTTTTATTGTATTGTAAAAAGACAGAATTGAAAGGGTTTTTTCCCTCTTATTTGGATATATATATATATATATATATATATTCAATCCTTTAGATGTCATGCTTTCATACACCAGAAAAGTGTTACTTCTGATCGTGGAGGAAAACTGTAGTTTGAAGTTGTGTTTAGGAGTGAGATTTGGGTGAAATTTTTGTATAGAAAAATAATTTTGCAGCACGTTTTCTATTTACTTTAATATTTTGGAAGGAGAGCGTTGATGAGACCCTTGAAAAGAGCTGGACAGCAACTTCGGACTGTAATTGAGGAAATCTTGGAAGCCACATGTTTGCCCATCACTTCAAGTTTTGTGCAATTGATTTTTTTTGATGAATACAAGCATTTTGACAACTAAGAGATGGTATTGGTTTCAGTATTTTAAATTGATAAATTAGTTGTCTAATCAAGAAGAAATTAACTGTATTATTAAAATGTGATTTTTTTCTTTTGTGAATGAACTCCAACAGAAATTAAGTATTCATCTGAATATGTTGTGTGGACCTGTCAAATGTAATCAAAAGTAATAAAAGAAGTAGTTTATAAATTCAATACTTTGATTTTGTTCCATGCAGTACATTCAGATCAATGGTTGTTTAGTTTAGTATACTAGGATACTTTGAGTTTGTTCAATATGGTGAAAATGTTGTTTTTTTTTCTAAGTCTATGTTGTTGTCTGTACATATTCTTAAATTTATTTTTATAATATATGTTAAATGTGATGAATGTGATATTTGAACATAATAAATATACTAGATTTGATACTTATTTGCATCTTGGATAGTTCATGTCTTCTACTGAATGATTATAATATGTGTATTGTATAGTTGATGTGTAATTTGTATGTTCAAACTTTAAATTTGTTGTTAGCAACAATTATGCATCCACACATGATTCTTAAAACATAACATTTTCTTTGTATTTTTTGTGTTAGAATCTTCAAAAGATCAATTTCTAAAACTTATAATTGAAGGGGTTTTTTAAAAAATTCAAAACATATTGATACTTAATTGTGAAAGTTAAAAATTATGAAAGAGCATAAATATCTTATCATGTTTTGATAATAATAGAATCTCATGGTTCAGTTACAATCAAAATATAAACCCAGACCAAACCATCTTAGATTTCTAAACTTTAAAAACATTTAGCATACAGTAATTTTGAAATTCTCTAAAACTATATTATTGTGAAAATAGCTACATCGTCCATTATATTTATAACTTCACAGCAAGGTGTATAAGTATTGAAATATACACATATTTAATTCCAACAAAAAAACATTGAAGACATGTTACTATTTCCTCTATTGTTATTTATTAGAGATTCTAATAATAAAAGGTGAAATTATATATATATATATATATATATATATTATTGGTACACATCTTATTTTGAAAAAAAACACAAATTCTAAATTAACCGAGTTCAAAAATAAAATAAAATAAAAAAATAAAAAAAATCTTGCCAACACAAGTTTTGGGACAATCCAATCATTGATTTTTTATTATTAAATCATTTATCTAGAAATTTTCATTTTAGATTATTATTATTATTATCTTTTGAGTGTCTTGGTTTTTCGTGTTTGCATCCTAGTCATTTCAGGATTGAATAATCTTATTAAAGCCTTGTAATGTTTTTTGAAAACAACTAAATTACCTTACTTTTTTAAGTATTCTATTGTAGGTGAAAGATTAAAAACTATCTATCTTTAAACTAATGTCTTATGTTATAGTGGTCTTTTCTTAAGGAAGTAGTTTTTTATTTTTATTTCATATATATATATATATATATATATATATATAGAGAGAGAGAGAGAGAGAGAGATGTAAAGATACTTCTTTTGCCTTACATATTGTAAATTATTAGATTTAATATATATATATATATATATATATATATAATAAAGCGTGAAAAAAGTTTTGAGATTTTAGTTAGCAATTCTTTTTATATTCATGTCTTTCCAAATATTTCACAATATACAAAATAAAAAATAAAAAGTTAGTATTGTAGATAGTCTCTAGCCACCTCATTTATGTCTTACATAATTGATTTAGACTTGGTAATTGACTTTCAATACAGTTCATGTGCCCCTACAATGATGACTTATAGAGATAGATGATTAATAAAAATAAATACATCCTAGATAAAATAAACAAGTATGTTTAGAACAGCTAGTTCCTAAACATGCCAATAATACAATTATATTGCGCCTTTTGTTTGTGTAAAAAAGCAACTACTTCAGCAAAGCCTTCATGTCTTAAATCAAACTAATTCTTTAGTTTCTCAAAAAAAAAAAAAAAAAAAAAAAAAACAACAACAACAACAACAACAACAACAACTTCTTAAGATATGAATTGTGTTGTCACTCTTAATACCATTTTATCAATTTAATAGAGTTATTTAATGATGAATACTGAAATGTTGATATAATATGTGTCTTTATATGTGCTCACAAAAAAAATAGTGAATGATGTATAAATTAAATATGTTTGATTTTCTTCCAACTTATATAGTAGGTAAATAAAGCAATATTGATGAAGTGAATATAAGAATGAAACATGTATACTTCTTCTCATTGAAATATGCCCAAAAAATATTAAAAAAAACTATTATAATCTCAATATATATATATATATATATATATATATATATATATTAGGAAAAAAATAAAATAATATATACATATATATATATATATATATTTTTTAGGAAAAAAATAAAATTATATATATTTAAAAAAATATGTGTGTGGTATTAAATTTCTTTAAGTTATTAATTTTTAGAATTTTATTGAAAAATAAATAAATATTACAACTATTATTAATACAATTCTTAAGATTTTGAAATAAAAATCATCTATTAAATTAATTATTCACACTTGGTGATGTATCACGTTATTTGACATCTATTCTAATAATATTTTAATTATGCAATAGTTTTTAAAATATTTTGTAACAAAGTATTTGTAATAAACCCTACAAATTGCTTTTGATTTTGATTTCTAGAGATATAATATTATTAACATAAATAAATTTCAATGATTGATTGCTATTAAAAAATTCAAAGTAATTTTATAGCCGTGTAGTAAAACTAATCTTTATCTTGAAGCATCCATTACGCATGAAGTCCTTAATTAACAAATTAAATTAACTATACTTGTGTTGAAATCTCTCATTTTTCAGTTAATTGGCTATATTGGTTCTTTCTCAAAGCCAAGGATATTTAAGATAATATATTTATTGATTTCTTCAAGACTGCTTCATTATCAAAGTAGATAAAGCAAATAATTGATCTATTATTTCAACCACATAAACTGAAAATTCCAAAAAGTTTAAATTGAATGCAAGTAGCATTAACATAATAAGAATATTTTTTCTATTCAAGAATTTTTTTCAAATATCTAAAAATAAAAAGAATTTTTGGCCACCTTCTTTGTTTGATCCTTAATCACCCGTGTGTATTAAAATCTTTGAATAAAGTTAAAGATTCTATTCGTAGGCTATGTTGACTTTTAGAAGTTATAAAAGGTATAAAGGCTCACTCACTGAGTCTATTTGCAAATAGCCACCTCTTATCACCTTGACTATACTATAAAAAAAAATTAAACTCTGTCAACCTTTTGAACATATGTCTATATTATTTAAATAAATAGAAAGAAGAAGAAGTAAGTGTAAAAATTTTAAATAGATGATATCTTGTTTCAAATTATTCAAATAGGTTTTTTATGCATAGAGTAGATATTTAGATTTTTATAGATATGACATGTTAATATTAAAACTTGTTTTTAAATTTCTTACTTTTAAAAAGTTGCATTAAATGCAGCTACAACTTAAGCTACAAACCTTGTGGTTCTTAAAAAGCTTATACAAGACCTTCTTGGTGGTTAGTATATATGGATATAAAAGTGAGGCTTGTGTTAATCTTATCAACACCTTACTTGTATATTAGTCTTGGTTTATAACTCTAGTTTTCTTTTGCATATAGGGATATTCATTTTAGTTTTTTTGTATCTTTTTTTTTCTTTTTTTAAATAAAAAATTAAATTTATTAAATTTTAAATATTTTTCTAGATTTACATCCTTTAAATTTTGACAAGATTAATATGCATAATATTACAACTTGATATTTCTTTTTAAAAAAAAATGAAATATCCTTTATTTTTAAAAATATTATGATACTTTAGAGATTAAAGATTACTTTCTTTTGAAATATTATTATTATTATTAATGCCATTTTTTTGTATCTATATATATATATATATATATATATATATATATATATTCAAATATTATAATAGTGACAAATTTAGTAAAGATAAAGAATGCCATAATATAAAGTTTGGAATAGATAAAAGTATTTATGCTTTATATATATATATATATATATATATATATATCAATTTTTTCTACTACCTCAACTAATAGTAAGAGTAATTAATAAAATAATAGAAAGGATTAAAAAATAAAAA